TGGGTACTGAGTTGTCTGATGCAAGGTTGGGGTTCATTGCTGCTCACAGAAATTGTCTGCTTTGGTCTGCTTCTGCACATGCCTAGAGCTAGCCCTACTACTGGTGCAGTAAGAAGTCACCTATAATAAGATCACAAAATCTTTAATACTGAAGAGCGTGTTGAAAGTAAATTGAGCATGCTTCGTTGGATCTTTTTTGAAGGATAATTTTGAACAACCTCTTTCCTTGCCTAGTAACTTTTGAAGAACGTTGCGTTCTATGGAAGTCAGCGTATCGGCCTCCTTCGGTAAATGAGATTTGACTGGCCATGATGGTAGCTCCAAAATGAATCACGACTACTCCCTACTTCTTGTGGTCGGCAGCTTGGTATGTTTTTCATTTGCAAAGCCAAGAAAAACAAGCTAGTTGCTGAACTCTTTAATTTCAGACATACAGATGGGGTTTTTGGATCCCAATGTGTACAATTTTTGGAAGTTACTTCAGTTGGCAGAGTTGTGCAACTGTATGATCATTGTCTCTGAAATAGACAATCGTGGTTCCTTTATATGGTGGAACAAAGGAAATTCCATTTTGATACGGGGGAAAAAAAAATTTCTAACTCATAGATGTAAGAGTGAAGAGTGTAGGAAGTAGCTCTACTCCCAAGAGACTCTGTCCTTAAGAACAGTGTCTCTGAAAAACAGGTAGTGATCTATGGTGAACACTTGCTGTGATGGGGGAAAATTGCTATTTTAGATACTCTTAGGTTGTGTGATTAGGAAACAGTGGGCAGGAGAGGACTTTATGACTTTACTGATAAGCATTTCCCATGTTGCTTTTTCCCCCACCCACCCCCCCCCTACACTTTGACACAAGGATGTGGTGAAACCAAAACAGAAACACTGCTGAAATAATGAGAAAGTAAAGAAAGTGATTTGTGGTGTGAGATGTGAAAACCGTCTGAGGTTAATAGAAAGAAGATTCAGAGGTGCCCCTTGGTGATAGCGAAGGAGAATCTCTGTAGGGTGAAGGTGACACCTGTCAAAGGACAGAGGAGGAGCTGGTGACAGCGCTGGAGAGAGAGACGTGTGAAGTGGAGCAGAGGATATGGCACTGACGTGGGAAATGAACACTGGAATAATTGACCAAGCAAAGACAGTGGTGGGTTCTCTGTCTCTTGGCATCTTCAAGGCAGGATGACTTTCTGGAAGGCAGTAAAACTCAAGTCTGTGTCTTAAGTAAATTACGAATTAGAGGGGCATGGGAGAGCCTTCTGGGGCTAAAGCTATTTCGCAGTTGAAGCTAGATGATGTAAATTGTCTTTCTGTGCCTTAAAGTCGCTCAAGTTTAGGGTTAATGGCTTCGAAAATGTTGGGGAGAAAGCTTCATTTTCTTCACTGGACTTCTACAGTGTAGAAAATTATACTTTGTTTTATTGAATTGCATGTTTTCTTACCTTGAAAAACATTTGAAATTATGTATTGCAAACTAATTTCACAAAAACTGACGTGGTATTTGAATGATGGTAATGATTTTGTTCCATCACTAATACTGAGCTTTTTTGTGTTGTAAAATGTAGTATCACCGATGCTGCCAATGAGTATGGAGTGTGCCCTACCAGTTTATTGGAACAAACTGTATTCACCTAAACAAATGGACAGCAAATTTCTAGCACTCCAATTATTTTAATGAGTTGTATTTCATGGATGCTGAAATAATACTAAAAACGGTTTCATGCAGTCTGTTTCATTCTATGAGAACAGAATTGTGTTGGTATAGCAAAATTTAGTGGCCATCTAGCTAACAAATTCCAGTAGTAATATATAATGCGTGCTATTATACAGATGCTAAAGAACTGGTATAGTCTAACAGCATCCTTGATTTGAAAGTGTTAATGAAAAATGAACCTATTTGATCCTGAGAAAGAGATTAACCTTTAAAACACGGAGTGAAATTAAAGGCGTAGACGGTGGTTTTGTATCTTAAGCAAGAAAAAGCAAACACTTTGTACCGATGGTAGGATTTTTCAGTTTTAATAATGATTTTTTCAGTTTATCCTGATTTCTAAACTATTTTTACAGTGATTTTCCTTTCTTTAAGAAAACAAGTGATACTCACATGAATAGTGTTTCCTAATAGTTCTAAAACAAAGAATGTAACTTGCTTAATGGAAGTTATACGGACTCAGAAAATGGCAAGTAATATAAAATCACTGCAGTATTTCTTGACTAAAAAGTATTTTTAAGCATGATATGGGAGAAGTGCATATAGAAAATTAGTGTATGAAAGTGCATGATACTGTCAGTGAATTCAGCAAAGCTACGTTAAGTGCCACATTGAAAGGGAAGATGCATTTTCTTTGTTAATAACCTCATACCTGCATCTTATAAGATCTTCTACATTAGGGTGAAAATAGCTTTGTCAGTCACATAGAACTAAAAGCTCTAAAGAATTCGGTTTTTCTCTCAGTATCTAACCTGAGCCTGAGGTGAGTCTAAATGTAATACAATATGATACATTTTACACACTTGCAAAAACATTTTATTACAAATTACATTGTATGGTACGATATAACACGACATGTAATTTTAAGCAAGACTATATGTATGTTAGCTTTTCCAGTTTTAAAAAAATGTAAAAAATTAAAAATTTGCAACTTCTTAAGAAAATAGCCTGGACATGTACAGAACACGCCGTGAGAACTTTCACTTTTAGCTCTTAACATGTTTCACCAGTGAATTTTCCTCTATCAATTTAAATTATTACAGAATACTGGTCTCTGTATGAGTCAGTAACCGCACATAAAAACAGTTCACTTTTGTGTCAGAGTCCCTGCACACAAGAACGGTTAGAATAGGTTTATGGGAAAAGCTACCGATTCAGTGACACTAACGATTGGTAACCGATTGCCATTGAGAGATGCTTGATTTAATTTATTAAAAAAAAAAAAAAACCCCAAACACCAGGCATGTTAGCATAGATGAGTTAATTACTAACACTATTTTAAAATAATGCTGAATACTGTTGTGTTTTCTTGTTATGTCCATATTTGATATTTCTTTCTCTTTAGGAAAAAAAAAATCTTGTTTGGAAATACTTGGGTTTCTAAAACATGTAGGGTGGGCTGTCTTGTAAACAGTTTTGTAGTTTCAATTAAAAATGGTATAAAATACATGGAACACATTTTTTCTAGATGAAACAATTGCACTTCCTTCCTGGTACACAGGCTCACCTTTTCTAATCCTTCAGCTTTCACAAAAGTATTTCAGGATATTGTTTGCTTATATACAAGAACTTGTAGCCCTCTTGAAGGTTTACTGCAAAGGTGACTTTTTTCAGTAAAGCATGCTGAAATTCATTCTGAGGTGGACATAGACATCTTCTGCATTTCTGTTTCCATTTTAACTTCCTTTTCTTGTTCTTTGCTTGGGGGGGGGAAATCAGGTTCTTTTCCTCAAGTTTTCTTGCAGTAATGGATTTGATGTTGAGCTGAGAGGAAATACAGTGCAAATGAACACGCTTCAGATTTTTTAGTATGTGCAAACTTTTCTGCTAATGATTACACTTCTTCCACTTAGAGGCTGAAGAAGATCTATCTTACTGATGCTGCAGGGTATGCAATTTCAAAACCAATTCTTAGTAAGCTAGTTTGACACCTGACACTGTATGACGCAAATGATCTTAAGTCCTAAAAAAAAAAAAAAATTCCCACTCCCTGGCCACTTCTAGCATGAGAATTTTTTCCACAATTGGTCATTCTAGTTTTAATGACAGTAGCATATACTTAAAGGAAAAGGTTGCAGTTCATAAATCAGAGCAAACTTCTAAGTGTCATTTAGTTAAAAAAAGGGGAAAAAAATTGATTTGTATCTCTTCCCTAAGTGTGTTGGTTAGTAAGTACAATTAATATAGTGTATATCTAAATTATAATATGTTCGGAAACCCATCTGAGAAGCTTAGTAAATAAATAGCATTTAAAATTACTGCTCCTTCCAAACAGGTTTCAATGCATAATGCATACTATATATTTTCTGGTGCCTTCTGCAATAGTGTAGAGGTTTTCCAAAGGCTGCGGTACAAAAAGGTACTAAATTATGGCAAATGCCAACAATCCGTAGAGGTTTTGATTGTTCTGTTTGTGGGGTGGTTTGGTTTTTTTTTTCTGTGCCAGAATTTGTCATTTAGACCTTTTGGGTACCAAAAGACTAAAAGTGAGATCTAGGACAGATGATTGTCCTGTAGCCTTGACCCTGTCAGCTTGGTGTGGTTAAAGGCTTGTCCTGACTTTGGGAGGTTTCTAGCCGCTCACCCGTTGGAGATGAGCAGCGGACTTGTTCGTCTGGTGATGAGGACATAGCTAAATTAGAAATGATGGCACGTTGTTGAAATGTGAGAGCTTGGTTGAAGTCTACATCGCATGAAGGCAAATATACATAGAGTCACATCTTAGAGATTATTCACGGTCTTGGACCACATGAAAAATTGTGCTTTGTCCAGGATATATGTGCTGAAAACTGCACTCCCCGATCAACATGGATTTGTAAAACTGAAGACCACTGCAAGTATAAGGCTTGCTCGCCTTTTTTTGTTTTCCCTCGTTGTTGTGTGAAGACAATAAACCAAACCCCCAAAAGGCTTTAAAACAATAGCAATATTTAGCTGTGTACAGGATGACAGCCTACCATTTATCAGGTTAGAATGTGACGCTTTCAGATCTAAGGGGGGGAAAATAGTTTTACTTTCCACCTTTGTACAAATTTCAATTCAGGTTTTACATCCCACATTGGTGAACTGCAAATAAAAGCTGGCAAGGTATTATCTGACGCCTCGCTTCTGGACATTAGTTTATAGGTACAAAGGCCTTTTTGGTACATACGGTGAGAACTGAATGCTGCCAGAATGGTCAGAACTACATTGGCCAGTAACACTATCAGTCTACCAAGATCCCATTATAGATGACTGATAGAACTCCAGATATTTTTCAAAGAAGGCCTTGAACTCCACATGTAACGGACTTGGGTTAAAGGAACCAGAGTTTCCATCTTCCATGCTTTTTTGATTCAGTTTTGGATTTTTGCTTGGGAGTGGAGGAGTAGCTCTCCTGAGAATAAGGCAAAGGTGCAACCTGAGTTTCCTCAATAGGATGAAGTTTTCTCAAAACTGGCTGTAGTTTATCTTCTTGCTGTTTAAAATCCAATTCCACACTAAAATGGGGAAGACAAAAGCAACTGGTTACTAATTATGACAGAAAGATTTCAAGTCTTTGACATCTGACACCAATATACAAGTGCTTATATTATGAAATTCAAATACAAAATAAATGTTTAAATCGGATCTCCACATTTCTTGCACCAAAAGTGAAAGGTGGGGTCAAGGGGAAGAGGAAGGTCAAAAAGGGACATACTGCAAAATGGAAATAGGAATGGGATTGTGCAAACTTCTCCCTCTGATTAGCAGGGCCTGGAGGATTATGGTCCAAGTGCTGTGAAGTGACTGAGAACTAGAAATACTACTCTCTGTAGAAAAATGCTCTTTTGGACGGCTCCCAGGCTCAGTTCTTCCTCTTGTTTGTGTGGTCTGGGATGTGTGGGGGTGGCAGCCAGGCACGCGCATCCTCGTGCTCTTGAGAGGAGCTGATGGGTTGGCCATCAGCAACAAGGTTGTCGTGGCAATTTCTTTACTTTAGCTGTTTCCTGCAAGTTTTACCATGAGTTAGATGAATTTTTTTCCACATATGAGAGCAGATTGGTGAAAGAATTATATTACAAAAACTAATAATTATACACATGTGGAAAAAAATAAATTTAAAAAAATTCTCCTTTACAGTGCAACCCTTTAGCGTATGCTGACAGCATCAAAACCTCGCTCTGTAATGAGGATGACAGCATAACATCTACTTGGCCCCTGCTGTAAATTACTGCTGAGACAAAACCATCTAATGATCTATTTATGTGGCTGAACAGATCTGCAGGTAAAACGGAAAGAACCTGTTTCAGTAGTAGCTAGTGTGTACTTGCTTGTTCCATTGCTCCTAAAATTTAATAGAAATAAGAGAAATATTCATTTAAATGTAAGCTTGCATTCAAAAAATACATTGAAGCTCTAAAAAACCTCTCCTGAATTCTAGTCAGCTATAAAATCCTGCCAGCAATTAAGAAACATAATAAAGATGAAATTATAACCCTTATTTCAACAGTGTGCTACCGATCATTTCAAGTTTACCTTATAAAACGAAGCAACCATGTTATAAACTTCAGCAAAAGGTTAATTCTGTCTGATACTCGAAACCGAATCTAGGCCGCTTAGAAACACCCTGAAACATGGTTTCAGTTGCATTTGGTACAGCAGCTTGTGACCAAGGGCTGCCCCGAGTCTTTTCATCCTTTCTTGTGCCTTACATTGCAGTGTGGCATCTGGGTGTCAGAGGATGAGTTTAGAAGATGGGGTGAAATTAAGGGAATTTTATTTCTTCCCTACCTTTTGCTTGACATTTTAAACCTAACAGTTAACAGCTGAGGTGAAGACTGTGTGTGAATGCATCTGTTGGGGCACTTGGGAGGTTGCCCTTTCGCCTCTACTGCTGAGGTTTCTTGGGCTTTGCGCTGGCTACCGTTGCTACTTCAGCGTTGCAGGGATATGAAGTTACTGTTCCTGGACGTCAGTTCACTTCTAATAAGTATTAAACATGTTTTCTTAGTTATTTCTGCTATTGCTTGTTTGGCGTCAACCGCTAGAGAAGTTAGGTCTGCCTTTTCAGGCCTCATGCTCCCGGTGTAGTTTATTTAAAAAGAGATTTTTAAACTTTTGTTACTACTACCCCTGTCTAGCTTAAGGGGAGTGGCACCCCACCTTGAACACATGCCAGCGTGCAGTACCAAACACCTGAAAACATTTCAGAGGACATTCTCCAAGTAAGCTGGAATAACAGGAGTGATGGGAAATTTTGGTGGACTTCAGTACTGCAGCCTTTTTGCAAATTGAGCACGTAATACCATCTAATAACATCTGCTGATTTAGGTGAATTTTATTTTCTTCTTAGGCTGGAGGAGAGGGAATCAAAGATGCTAAGAGAAGTTTGGGATACTTGTGTGCTTTGGTTTTTTTGAAGAGCTGAAGAGTCTGCCTGTAAGGACTTCCAGTGAAGCCCTAGAAGGGGGTGCCGGGAAGGTATAAGGTGTTTTTTTTTGCATCTGGCTGTGCCTAGTTTGGTGCCTAGTTTGACTGTTAAAACATATTCTGAGCAAAAGCGTTAGCATTTTGGTCATTTAGATAAACTTCCTAATAATGGAGGAGAGAAATACATCAAGTAAGACTTCAAATACTCAACAACATGGAGGTAGGGAAAATATTCTAAGCAGTAAAAAGATATTCCAAATTGAAGAAGGTAATGTTTAAACTTTCAGCTATATGCTACAGCGATACCTATGAACACTGAATTTGCAGGAGACAGCTGTGCAGGGTATCCTCTTACTGCAGAAGCACACTACAAGCCTACCGATTAATCTCGTACCCATCCTTGCTAATGAAAGAACAATACCGTCTTCAACTTGATAACACGTTCTTGTTTGCAGTTTAGCTAGCAAAAAGCAGTTGGTTAGGTAAGTGCAGCATTAATTTTGAGGTAAGATTGGGATAACGGTTGATTGTGAATGCCCCACCACGTAAATGCTTTCAGTAATACAGTGAGAGAATCACAGCATGAAATACATTCTTCTCTAAGAGCTCTCTAAATCTCATTGGAAGTGGCATGCAAATCTGTGCAGAATCTGGCATGTGTTATAGTTGGTTTGTTTCTCAGTAAAAATTTGGGGGGGGGGGAAAGGGCATTTCAGCTCTGGCACTGGCAGAGTTCATTTTTACTTCTTCCAAGATGTTATTCTTGCAGAAGAGCTCTCTTAACAGCTACTTGAAATTGATGTAAAAGATAAATTGTTTTTAAAAAAACCCTTGTTGAACAGATTAACTTTTTTCATAATTTCTACTAAAGATAAACCTCAAGAGAAAAAGTCTTAGTTCTAGTCCATATAACAAAACCCATGTTATAATTTTCTACTGCATAAAACCATTTGCAGTACGCTTCAGCTGTCTTTCAGCTGTTTACATGAAAATGAAATAGTTTTGCTTCTGAAGAGTATAAGGGGTTAAATAAAACATTGATATCATTTCAGCATTTATAGCTGTAAATTATGCAGAACAATTGATTGTTGTCTATAAGATCAATTTATCTAGCTTTGTAGGTTTTTCAAGTAACCACTTCTTCCAGGCCAATGATCTGTTTTCTTACAAACTTAGGTTTTAGTATATACCTGTCTGTGCTGCAGTAATAAGATAAAAACCTTATTCTGTAATCTTTCCCGTATCTTTCTAAATTAGCTATACTGACTTTATTTTTGGTCTTTAATTTTATATCGAACATACGGAATACTGTTAAATTCAGAGTGTGTTACATATTTGTATGACTTCTTTGTATTTTTTCAGAGTTGCAGATCCTCTCTACAGACTGTTCCTCTAGCTTTCCAGTTCTTGCATTCATGAACTTGATTTTGTCACCTGTCAGTTCTGACAATTTTGTTTTGCTTAGTGCTATTTTTGTATCCTAAGTATCTATAGGTTTCCTCTCAGAATGACCTTTTCTTGAAATATTCTTTATGCCATGTGGCTCTCTTCACTTTCAAACTTCATCTGTTTTTGTCTCCTCTTTAAGCCTCCCCATGAGAACTACATAAACTTAATGAATGAGGACTATGTGTTCTTGTAGCATTATGCATGATGGAGATTATAATTATTGGCTTTAGAAGCATTTTTCCTTAGATGTAATAATATTCTTCAATAGACTGATAATGTTATATAATGCTAGTACCATAAACACGTGCCTGACACATCTGATCAGGACGTACTAAAGGTTCACTTACAATATTGCCAAATGAGGAACATGGGCTTGGAGTTTCTCCATGGTCAGTGCTTGTCTCAAATTTTTACTGTGCATGAACTGTGGTGCAAATAGGCTGGTTTTGTGAACTACAAGCAGTACAACTTTGTCTGTGATAAATATTCTGGTTTTCTGTGTGTTTTCCCTGAAAAAATTATACAAGTACAAGGCTTACAACGGAAACTTTATGTTTTAGGGTAGTTGCCTGTGTATCAGTGTTTGCACAGATGTCATGCCTGTGAAAAACTGGCCAAATAAAATCAAATGACAGACCTTTGAGAATTTTATTTTGATGTGCTCATTAAGCACAGACGATAACTTTGTTGTTAAAATCGCTGAAATTCCTTCACAGTGAGACCAGTTTAGTCCAGGACTGATCAAAAATCTCTTTGCCGTTGCAGCTCCAAGTTACATTAGTCTGTGCTTGACTGAGCCCCAGAGCTGAGGACCCTGAGCCTGCTTTTTCTGTCATCTTGCTTTCTGCTAGGGACTGATACCAGTGCAAAGGGAACCCAAAATGAGATTAAATTTTTTTTTTTCCTTCCTTTTCCTCTTTCCCAGATTCTGCTATTATTTATTGCACAGCATGGACGTGCACTAAACTGACTGAGGAGCCTAGCTGAAACGTGAATCATGATCTAATTTTGTCCCTAAGAAGTACCACTGACTTGCTATTGAGGCAAAGGATTGCAAAAAGGTAGAGGGTGACAAAAGAGGACGAAGGTAGAGGGCAAAAAGCAGGGCAGTTGACTGCTGCCTCGAAAACAAATTTTATACACAACTGTTAATTTTGGTATTGAAGTCAGTGGGAACCTCTGGGGCTTCTCTGTTTTGCTTTGGGCTTAGTGTCCCCCAGCTTTTGCCTTTTGTGTTTGCGAAATGGAGTTACTGTGTTCGGAAAACAATGAAGACTCGTATACCACGACAGTGAGTACCCCAAGAGAAACCTGGAACAAAACCATTTTCTATGCAGAATTTGAGTCGTATTCAGGAAAGAAAGGGAAAAATCTACTGAACAGCTGCTCGCCGGCGAGGGACAGCGCTTGCTGCCTGGAGCCCGAGGGGAGAGGAGCAGAGAGCTGCCCGACCCCTGACCGAGCGCTCGCGGTGCGGGAGCGCTCATCGGCGCAGGGTTCGCTTGGCCTCCAGCCGCTCTCGGAGGCCCCGAGAACATCTCGGAGGTGCTTTGGGGTGGGTGTGGCACGGCGTGCCTGCGCGCGCTGTGTAACGTGCGCGCTGTGTAACGCCTTCCCAGAGGTGTCACAACTATCTGCA